GTGAGATCTATAAGATCTTTCACTTTCACTTTTGAGATGGAGGTGTTCCACAAGACTGCTTGCAGTTCTTCCTCATGGTTTATTGCATCATAAATATGCTCAGACTAGACCATACATTCATGGACTAACATGAGTAAAGCAAAAAGAGATTGCTGCCCATCTCTAATGTTCCTTAGATTGCTGAAATTGGGAATGGTTTGCTTTTCAAAATAGGGTTTTATGGTCACCCATTGCACTTTCTCTGATGATATGTTCCTCCGGACTCTCCAATACATTTCTTCCCCATCCTTATCCAGTAGAGTATGGGAGTCCATACCATTTATCATCTCCTAACTACTGAAGTGGTGAATAATGGAGGAATCCTCCTGAGTATTCACAATTCCACCCAGTTGAGAGTAGAGCAGTGCCATTCTGCCCGTGTAGAAGGTGCGACTATCCTCCTGCCTTGGGTCTGATAAGTCCTCATATGGAGTAGGCTGGGAACTTCCTCCTAATGTGGACTGGATGTTATATCACCAATGCTAATTAGTTTTGGACTAGAATTGACCCTTGACATTGCATTCCCAACTTCCTGATTTTGTCTAGATGTACATTCTCAGGGATTCTTTCTGCGGGTTTTGCTGGGTTTGTGCGCATAATGGTTTAGGTTCTCGAAACAGGAGCTACTATTGTCTTCTAGAACTAAGGAAAATGGTTGCAGACCCTCCTCCTATCATGGACTGGTCATGTTCCTTCCATTGCCACTGGTCTGGAATGTAGTTGACGTCCTGCTTATGGCCTGATGCACCCTAGCCACTCTACACATGCTCCTCTTCCTTAGGGATTTGGAATTGTTACCTTGTTCTACCATTTGATTGTGTGACCACACCTGCTGTCTCCACATTGGCAAAGAGTATATCTGGTTCAGTTCTCGTGCAGTGTCCCATAAGTGTGATTCCTCTCCATAGAAAAGACACACTCCATGGGTGCTTTTCAGATCTTTTGAAGGGTGCTCATCTAGATAATTTTACTCCAGTCTCTCCACCTACTCAATGTGGGATTCTAGCTGTAACTGTGAAAGGAGGTAAGTAATCATATTGGGAGTTAATATTTTTTTACATTGAAAATATATTTCCAGTAGATACATACCTCCTCTAACATTCCCCACCCATCCTCCCCTCATCTGCTGTCATTTTTTGTGCACAATTTTGAAGTGAAGATTGAGTTTAACTGCATAAAGGGAGTCAGCTGCAATAGGAGGGTTTGTTGCACTCCTATTGATGGAGGACTGTTGCATGTTAATTTGCATTCTTAAATGCAGCTCAATCATGTAGTATACACTTGGAATTAGGTGAGAGTTTCAAGGCTAGTGGGGAGGGAAAATTTGTGCACTAGAGGGCAGTCAAATCGAGAATAAGTGTAACTATGAAGAAAGGTGATTATCTGTCAGAACTATATTTTCAGTGTAGGAAAATAGTAACTTTCATAAAGCTAGCAGAATAGAGGCAAGAGTAAGTAGTTGTTTTTACTATTATTATTATTATTCCCAAATATTACCTGGGCTTAGGGCCCCACTAAACCTTAATCTAGCCCCAAGTTAAGGCCAAACTTATTACATTGTATTAAAATTTCTTGCTAAATAATGGTACAAATTTCTGGAAATGTGAAGATTAAAACATAGGCTACAACAAGTTAATAAATAATGTCAGCTGTGATATATATTGCAAAAACACACACACTGGTCTCTACATCCCCTGGAATTCCACTCATGACACCACACAAAAAG